GAGATGGCAGTAGACGTGACGCAACTTGGGATGGACACTTTTTCTTTGTTGAAACGTCCCACATAACTACGTAGTGACTCTCTTTTCTTCTGGATTTTCCAAATTACGGTTGCTTGCGAACTGTTCGACAAAATGATCGGTCAGTGACGCGAAAGAGTCTATCGAAGCGTTTGGTAGGTTCGTAAACCACTGAAGAGCTGGTCCAGTAAGACTTGAACCAAATCCCTTACACATGCTGGCTTCTCTGTACTCTTTTGCAATTGCAGTTGTGTACATGCGTTGCTTGTACTGTGCAATGTGGTTGTTAGGATCTGTCGTACATCGTCAGCAAGGGAATCGTAAACTTCCTTGGCATCTCCACGAGCGCAATCTCGTCCGTGAACGGAGTGTCTGTGTAACAGTTGGGGGCACTCTTTGTTATTGGTGGTGCTACACCGGGAAATCGCTGGATCATCGCTTCTATATCCTCAAGACGTCTGAGGACTAGGTGTGGATCGTCTGTTGACCGGGTTGTCGTTGCTTCACTAGGGTTAAGCAAAGTTCGGACGACGTGCGCCTGAACCGCATCTCTAGCCGCATCGTTGGCAGATATACTAGGTCCTCGTGGAAGTCGCACCATCCTTGCATCCACAGCTGGTGTAGTCACCGTCCTTGCATCCGCAGTCGGTGTAGTTCCGTCAAGTGACTGCATCAGATCGACATGTCTCTGGAATCGGTTTCGAGCTTCAAGCTCGGTGTCTCTGCTTTCAGCAAGTAGAGACTCGTTTGTAGCTTTCAAAGTAGCATTCTCTGCTTCGAGCAACGCTGCTCGTTCTTCAGCCCGCTTCATCTGGGCGGTGAATTCCGCCAGTTGAGCGGTGGGATCTCGAGTGTCATTCCCTCCTGTCGTAAACTGGAGGTTTTCTTGGCCTGTCATATCTCACGTAGTTGAAACTGTGCCCCTCCTAGCGTCAAACTGTTTGTGCAAAATTTAACCGGATAGGATAGAACACAGTACTATGGAATGACGGGAAGTCGTTAGCTTTATTGATCAATGAGTTTTGATAAGAATTACAAAAAATCAATAAAGAGATCGCAAGGTGATGACCGTGTCTGTCGTTCGTCGTTCTTGTCGCTCGTTGTTGAGAAGCGGCAAGAGTTTAGTTTTCTAGGGTTTTTTGCGTGTCTTCTAATTGATCTCGTCCTTGTGCTAGGACTCTTGTATTTATAGATTTCATAAACCCTAGTCTTTGATGGATTGGGCCTGTTTTTCGTCGGTCCATAGTAGGACGTCATGTCGGCCCTTAGTCGTATTTCCTTTAGAAATATGTTAAGTCAGTTACGTGCTAAACCGTTGATTGTTAATAAAATGGTGTCGAGACAGTCGGTCGATGGTTAACACACAAACCAAATTTCGTTACTGGTTAAGGCTGTTTGTCAGTGCTTAATAGTTCAGTCGATTGCAGCAACATGGTAGTGCCATGACCTGTGAGTCCCTTGTTATAGACTGCTAAAAGCTCTTTGAAACGAAGAAATAGAAGCGACTGGCGGAGCATGTCTCTAAAATGCTCAGCCTTCGTCTTATGAACTACGTTATAGTAGCGTCCAGCTGGGTGAATTTATTACACCCAACACTTCTTCTTGATAAATCTCATTAAGTCGCCATGATTCTTTGGTTAAATTGCAGGTAAAGAAAGAAACTTTGATAAAAAAACCTCTGCTGCAGCAACTTTAGTTTTTCAATCGGATCACTTGATCCATTAAGCAAATGTCCAGCGAGAACTACATAAGTTCTTTTGTCCTTGTAAAGCTGTTTATTCCCAATGTCTCAATTCAACCAATGATGGAAAGGACCTAAGAGTTACATTTCGAGAACTTTGTTTACAACATAACGAGATGTTTCAAAACTAGATGACAGAATTAGTATACAAGAATCAGTACCTTCAAGTTTATCAAGTGAAGCTCTAAAACATAAGAGAGTAAATCAGCATGTGGAGGAGACGAAACAGATGCAAACCTGAAAGAGACTGCCCAATACAAATTAGAAAGTGAAACTAAAATCGAAAGAGAAGAAACACACTGCTCGATGTAATCAATCGAATTACCCGCGAGAAAAACATGTCCAACCAATATCTTCGATGCAATGTTCATGTCTGTATCGAATGAAAGAGGTAAATTGAAGTGTGTTCTAAAAGATCGCCGAATTCTCCCGTGGATATTGTCTAGTCAACAAAAAAAATCAGCCATAAATCGTTAAAACGCTTAACTAAGTGAAAACCCAGAAAGCTCGACTTGAAGAAGACGATCAAATTCCCGAACCTGTGACAATCCGAGAAAAAAGCCATGAATTTTTTTTCAAATGAAGACTTCTAATAGACATTCTGATTTCGTGTCTTCAATATTGTTACGCTCCAACGAGTTTAACGAATCCCAGATTCTTCAAGGGTTTAATCGCCGATACCGGAAGCCGGCGGGATCTTGAAAAGACCACACTTTCAGGCAAACCGATACACAAGTAGAAAGGTTACGACTTGGAAAAAAAAAACTATAATTAATATCTTAATTATTAAACATGTAAGAGAAATGCACAAATTCGAAGGAATCACATAAGCGTGGAGAAGATATCAAAATCAAAGCACAATAACACTCACCTCGAACATTTACAACTCTAGTTGAGTCATCTTTAATCTTCCCCTCTCCATATCCT